ATATATATATATATATATATATATATATATATATATATATATATATATATATATATATATATACCACAACCTTTTTTTCAAAATAACCTATATAGAGTGTCCCATATGAGTCCCATGATTAGTAAATCTCGAAAGGAGTGAAAAAAGGTGGAATTTTGAACTAAAAGTTCCTTTTCCACTTTTGGCTCAAGCCATTATTTACCGAGTTATTAACTCTTGAAGTTTCCCAATGAGAAGGCGTGCTACTATATTACGCAAGTGCGTCGCGCATCGTGCCACCCCTTGTCCTTACCCGGGTTACATTGCTTTAAATATTACATTACTTAAATATTACATTACTTTAAATATTTGGTTATTTTTAAATTAAAGAATTGCATTTAAACTTTTTTTCTTCCACCTCAATTCCTTTCTAAAAAAAACCTGAACGAATAAATAAAAACAGTTAGAAATCGATTAATTAATTTATTTATTTCAGAAAATTATTAATACATTGTCCGAAATTAATGAATACATAAATTTTATTGATGTCCTATCGTGTCTTTTTACGTTTTTATTACTTTCTAAAATAATAAATTAATTAATTTAAATAATAATTAATTAATTATTTATGTATTTATTTTTTCAAATGATGATAAACGTAAAAAGATATAATTGACATCAATTCTTTATGTATTTATTAATTTCGGACAATGTATAAATAATTTTTTCAAACAAACTAATCAGTTGATCGATTTCTAACTGTTTTTATTTATTTATTCATGTATTAATGAATTTGGCAAAATCTTAACAGAAGCAATGTAACCCGGGCAAAGACGAGGGAGTGCGCGACGCACCTGCGTAATATGATAGCGCGTTTTCTCATTGGGAAACTTCAAGAATTAATAACTCGGTAAAAAATGGCTTAAGCCAAAAGTGGAAAAGGAACTTTTAGTTCCACCAAAATTCCACCTTCTTTCACTCCTTCCAAGATTTACTAATCATTATGGGACACCCTGTATATAAAAGCATACAAATCGCAGATTCATTGTGCACTGAGAGAAATTATCCGACAAAAAATTAACAAACGGATATTTCCGATCAAAATACTGATAAATTTTTATATCCGAGGATATCCAATTAAATTTAACCGAATGCTTACAATCATAATAGCATTTCACCAGATAAACTAATCAAAGATTTATGAACCGATATTTCTTATTGGATGTTTCCTCATCGGATACAAAAATTAATCGGTACTTTGATCGAACATTTGATCGAATATTCGTTTGTTAATTTCTTATTGAAAAATTTCTCTCGCGTATAATTGAATTGACAATATTTTCTATTTTAAAGAAATTCTGTGACAATTTTATTTTTTACGTCAAGAAAGAAGTCTCTTAAGAGTCGCAGCACAAAAATAAAAATTGCCTGAATATAAAAGCGCATAATTCCAACAACATACTTGTTTTGTTGGACAACTTGTTATTGGATGATGGGAGAGCGGCTGACTTGTCGTCCACCTGGCCTTCAAACATTTTTTTCTGGCGTAATAGATGGAGCGTAAAATTTTGACGTGTTATTTTCGGGTAGCGCATAATTATATAATTTCGTTGTTCGTTTCAGATTAAATGAGGGGAGGGGGGCTAGCTAAGCAGACATGCTGAATACGAGCGAGCGCGACTAAGCACGCCACGAATCAATATATCCGCGCGTGCCTGGAGCGCCTCGGCGCGAAACAAACACCATCGATCTTCTGACCGGCGGCGGCGCGAAGCATCGACAGGTAGTGAGAAAAATCCTAACGATAACGCGCAATTCTCTTAATCATTTCGCGCGTCCGGACGGCGCACGGGCAGAGAATGTTGCCGCGGCGACGTGTGCTCCGTGTTTAATCGCTCCATAGCCAACAGCGCGAACACCTCACACGTCGCACTTTGTACGCGCGCGATTTATATCGCGAATCGAGAGAGAGAGAGAGAGAGAGAGAGAGAGAGAGAGTATGATGAACGAACGATTTAGTTAAGCTGAGTCGCGCTGAGATGGTCAGCTTGGTAAAAGCATCAACGCATCAACACCTAATCCTGGATATTGCTGACTTCAAATTAGAACAGTCAAAGCTTCAATACGGGGCGAAACGTCCAGCAGCCGGCAATCGACCTGTTTTCGGCATTTTTGGACGAATCTCGTCAAATATCAAAGGTGTATGGGAATTAAGAAAAATACTAATAATAATAAATCCTCTTACACTTATTAAAAAAGAAAAACAAGTTTGTAGGAGCAATTATTTAAATTTATCGTGACTAGAACTAGAGGATGTAAGGAAACAATTTTATTCTAAAAGAAAGAATTACGACAATATATATCTTCCAGTTGCAATATCCAAATATTTGCTGCTATAAACTTATGCTTTTTGTAAAATAATTAATTACTTTATTTATCAGCATAAGGATATTCTAGCCAAATTGGCATTTGGCCAAATTAACATTCGCAATAAGAAGTAACGAATTATTTATAAGATTTAGAATTATTTATAAAATTAATTAAGCTGTTTTAAATTGCAAAAAATAAACAACCGTCAATTAAAATGATATATATTTTCACATATTTAATTTGTTGACCTATTAAAAATTCATTATGTAAAACAGATGTTTAGATACCGGTACATTCGCTTATTAAATATTCATTGCTGATATTCAATTAACTAACTTTTATTCTTAAAAATGGTTTGGTTTTTAATTTATATGTTAAGCGTGTAAAAAGATTCTTTTTAAGTTCTTTTTTTGATGTAGTCTTTCTTAATGTTCTTAACCAAAGTGCGTAAAGATCGGTATATCTTAATATAATTTAAGGATCTGTATTATTTGCACTAAACGTTAATTTGAACAAAAGGAAAACATCGAATCAATTGAGATTCAGGTTTGATTGACGAGCACTTACCTGGGAAAGGCGAGTCTGAGGTCGGCGCGGAGTTTATTCAGCAGCTCGCTGACCGACGTGAACTGTCTCAAGGTCATTTCGCCACTTCCGGATGCGTAACCGGAACTCGAACTGGTTGTCGACGGCAAAGTACCTTGAGAGTCCTGTACGGCCCCCAACGGACGTCTTCCCCATCGTCTTAGCGCGATCGCGTAATCCTCGGCGTTGTACGTGGGTGGTCTCAAGCGTTCCTGCGAACAGATCGATTATTTCATGCAAAGGTATCTTTAGGTGACGCGTTAACCAATATCCAAAAAATATAATCTCATCTCATTAATGGAATCCTGAGGATTTTCCTCTTGTATACGGCTTCAAGAGAGAATTCTCCTAGGATCAAAAGGAAAATATTCTAAGCACAATATTTTTAAAGCTCCTTGCCAGTCATAGTTGAATTGTGAATAGTTGTATAGTCATATGTTGAATTTGTGGCGTAAGAAGTGAGGAATAACACGCTGACGAAAATTGCGTGCCATTTTTAAATAAAGATAAATATGCACGAAAGAGCATTTGAGATTGTTTGAGCATATTTGTAAAATTGTTCGAAAGATATTCTTTTCCCCTAATGATCAATAAATATGATAAAATAAGACATGTGAAATGATGAAATAAATCTGTTTTGTTTGCATGCATTATTTCGCCATTTATTATATGACAATTTTTAATCATCAGGAGAAAAAGGAACTTTTGGATAATTTTACAAGTATACTCAAACACTCTCAAGTGCTTCTTCGTCCATATTTATCTTTATTTAGAGATACAAGAAGGCTTAAAGTTTGAGGAATTTAGTCTTGTTTGTCGCGTCTTGTTTTAATAAGAAGCCAATAACAGTGTAGGATCTAACTTGCCTTTAATTTTTCCATTTTGATTGTATATATATCTTGAGAATCTTTTTATTTTATTCGAGATTAAAACATTTCCAGTAGCTGACGCTCATCCTACTTATCGTTAAACTTTAAATTTTTAATTTAATAATTAATAAAATAAAGATGTTTAGAAAAAATGTTTCCTTACATCTTCAAGTTCCAGTTACAATATTCAAATAATTACTTTAACAAATTTGTTTTTTATTCCTTGATAAGTGTATGAAAGTTCTGTAAACGTTCTTAAAGTAAATATATTCGTTTTAATTTAAAAGAAAAATATTAGAATCCACATTTTCAATTAATAGTCCACTTTATTTTATAAGAAGAATGGTTTTTCAGTAAAAGTTCTCGCTTAGAATATGGGATTACAGAAAATAACATGTTGCAAATAAAGTTCTTTTTTTGAGCATTAGAATTTTTTTTCAATTTTAGAAGAATGCTTTCGAAATGAAATAATAAGAGAATCTTGCTAAGAGTAAGATTATATTTATTTGAATAAATATATGATCGTGCACCTAGAAAAATGTTATTTGAGATTACTTTGTAATAAATAAAAGAGGGGAACATTTAATAGAATCTTACAACTAGAGCTCTTCTTTTTTGAGTGTATCCCATGAATATTCGCCAAGAGAATTAGATGTCGCGGTTAAGTTAAACATTGAAAATAAAAAATACAATTGCTTCCGTGTAACAAAGTCCGTCTGAAACCACCGAATAACAATAGAACGGAACGTCTTCATTTACATTAAATTAGAATAGCGACACGTCTCGCGGTTGTACGCTATCGTATGAATTTCGAATTTAGCGCGGGAATTATTGCCGCTTGTGAGTATGAAATATTCATGTCGAAGGATACGAAGGTATCTCAGCTAATTTCACGGCGCTTCCGATCGTAAATCGATAGAATCATAGTGATTATCGCCTTTTCTCGCTGTTCATAAATAGCGAAGTGGGAGTTGAAGCTCACAGGAGGATGTGTATCGTAATCAAACTCGAATCGATAATCAAAATCAATCGTTCATGCCGTTCGATTTGCGTCAATTTACGGATATGTATATATAGATTCAGACGAACCTAAATAAGACGAACTTATGTAATTAAGAGAATTGGTACGTATCTCCCATAAACAATAAATAAATATGTTTATAACGTAACAACGTTGTGCGCTAACTTGTGTTAAGCATAACAGTAAACTGCGTTAATTTGTATTAATGTTAATTATAATCGTATTGTGTTATTATAATAAAATCAATTTTAATATCAATTTATTTTAATATTTTTGCTAAGTAGGTATTAGTATCATGAAACTGAAAACATATAGAATACATATTATATAAAAAGAAAAAAAGTATTATATAAAATATTAAAATATTATATAAAATATTATATAAAATATTAAAATATTATATAAAATATCATATAAAATATTATATAAAAAGAAAAAAGTATTTAAGAAATAAAAACTATTTATTCATCGCGAATAATAATAACGTATTTAAATCTAAATCCTCTTTTATTTAAATAAATAGAGTAATTGTTTTTTCGTGAAAAGCTATGGTACTAAGAGAATATCTTTTTACTTAAAAAATAATTGTTTTTAGTGTAAAAATACGCACATTAAAAAAAATATATATGTATGTTATAAACAGGGGAGAGAGTTGTGGATAATAACTAGTTAATCGGTTAAAAATTAAGTTAAAAAGTTAATAATAATTTTTAACCTCATTTAGTTAATTTTAAGTGAGTTAACTTTTAATTTAAACTAGTTATCTTAAAATGCATTAACTTTAACTTATTGACTTTTTTTTATAAAGTTGAAATAATTCATCAACATTGTGAACTGCTTACGAATACAAAATATTAAAAATAATATTAAAAATAATGTCAGTAGAAAATATAAAAAATGATGACAGCAAATATTCGTTAATTAGTAATGATTATGATAATATATAATAATTATACAAATTTTACGATTATTCTATGATTAAGAATTGCAAAAAACATATTGCTTTATGTAATTAACTTTTAACTTCGATAAGGTAGTTTAATATTTCAACTTAATCGTTAATAAAATTAATTTTTGCTTATGTAACTTTTAATTTAGCTAAATTAATTCTATAAGCCATTAACTTTAAACTTAGTTAAAAGAAGATATTGATTTACCTAACTCTGATTATAAATGTGTGTGTGTTTCATTTTTCTTTTAAATATGTTTTCTTTTCTGTACAAACTTACGTAAGTGAACGTATTCGCCTCGACCGTGACAATAAGAAGATGCACACATTCTGTTCCCTTTCTCGGTTTTCAGTGTTTCATCATCAAGTCGCGATTCTTATCGCCGTGTGTTTCCTCGTTAATACGCGGTCATTGTATTCCACACGAACAAATTACGTGAAATTGATTTACTTTCATGCTTACGGTTTATGAATATATAAATTATGAAGTATTCCGCTATTGGCGTACACGCGGAAGTGTGTATGAATTATTCAAATGAGTCAATTACATTGAGAATCGTTCCCGTAAGCACACGTACGGTTTCCCCCTCCCCGTTCCCTCTCCCCTGCTTCGATGCGGCGTGTAAGCTTATCAAACGGTCCAGAGCGGTTGGTCGAGTTCGCCTTGAATACTGGTAGCAATAAGCGATCGCCGGAGAATGTGTTCAGCGGTCGTCAATTAATCAATGGACCAAATGGAAGATCGCGCGTCATCCGAATGTTATCCCGGTCTCATTCGCGCGCGGACAACTTTTCACGCAGGCGTTAGCGCAGACATTATACAGGGTGTTCTGCAATTCGCGGAGGAGTCGCGATATATAGATTAAGTCAAATTGAACAAAAAATTTCTCTACCATTTTGCGAACAACCAATTTTAAGTTATTAATCAAAGAATATTTTTAAAATGCAAAGAAAAATACATTTTTTATTGTTATTTCTTAATAGCGCTTGGTATATTACATCACTGAAGCCTACATGATACCATCAGAGTTAAAAAGAAAATATTTCAGTGAAATTATTTATTACAAAAATATCAAAACATGAGCATTGGCCATTTTTCCTAAATTTTTAAAACAAGATGGCCATAAGGAATAGATGACCCATTTTATGTTCAAGATTCTGTACTTATTATTTTATAAAATAATATAAAAAACATAATTTGACATATTCATTTTAGTATAGGATATTTAATACATATTATTTGTGAAAAATATAATACACATATAAAATAGAAACTTCTATTACAAAACTTATATTCTAAATCAAATTTTTGATCAAAATACCCAGCAGCACAAATTCGTTCCTAGAATATCTCCCGATCTTCCAGTAGGAAAAATTGTATATTCGTAGAAAGTTCTTTTAAGAAGATTAATATTCTGGGAATATTCTTATGTTTTCAAAAGGACTATCTTAAATATTCTTCGGGAATATTCCCACATATATTCATAGAATATTCTATTCATGATTTAATTTTCGATCGAAGAATATTCTACACCGGGAAAAAAGTTTGTTAGAATAGTTGTTAAATAAAAAGGAAGATCTTTAATCCTAGAATATTTGTTGTGGTTGCTAATGTTGACTCTAGTTATTGCAATCTTTTTATAATGGTGTACCATTTAATTAATTCCATTTATAATTTGCTTGGAAAAAATCGCTGACTCCAGTAAGACTTGACTTGAAATCTTTAGTTCTTGAGGAACTCGCCTTACCTACTGAGCCACTGCTATTAACTAATGAGAACGACTATTATAATGGTATATGTGCCGTTTGCTTTAAGCGCTTATTCGCTTTCGAAGTATTCTTTATTAATGTACCGAAGTACATTATATTTAGTACATTACATTTAGTACAGAGTAAAAATTTTCAATTAGCTCTTTCAAATTTTTCAATATATGAAAATGAGTGTACCACATATGCTTACAAGATTATTTTCCGAATATTCGAATATACAAGGTTTCTTGAATATTTGAAAAGTCATTTTTGTCGAATATTCCATTAAACGCACATAGTATTATTCAGTTATAAATATTCCAGGTTAAACAGAGAAGATTCATATTCCTATAATGATATTGGAATATTCATTTCATAATATTCGTATAAGAAGATTTATAGGTCTTTCCACGAACATTGTGCTGGTTGAGTATATAAGATTATTTTTCGAATATTCCAATGTACAAAATTTTTGAATATTTCAAAAATCACATTCGGGTAATATTCCATACAGAATACATAATATTATTCAATTACGAATATTCCAAGTTACCATTACAGAAAAGATTCATATTCCTATAATATAATATTAGATAATTTAAGATTAATATTAGATATATAATT